AAGATGGTGTAATTAACTTGAACTTCTTAAGAATCACTCATAATATTTGTTGTTACCAAGCACAAACATTAACAATAAAATATCTTAATAAAAAAAAGATTATTTTGAGCATGTATAAGTAAGACATAAGATCAGAAAGAGATTATTATGGGTGTGCTCTGCCCTAACTCAATATAAGTTGATGAAATGGTGATGATCTAGTAGACAATTTGCAACTTGTGACGCTCAATTGCACTTATGAATAGACGAATTTTGATACTCGACTATATAATAAAACTAAAGAGGTAGGATCGGGATCGTAGTGTGATCGGAAACGTTTTTCACTTGTAGGATCTTAAAATCGTAAGATCGTAAGATCAAAATCGAGATTTTAACAACCTTGGTAATAAAGAGAAGTTGCAAAGAACATAGTTCCATACCACCAACCAATCACCATACCATCTACATCTAGTATATCAACCATTAATCTCATTTATTCTTTAATACCATTTTGTAATAATAGAATATTTATTTATTTATATATATGAGAATATAAATTTCTTTAGCCTTTACCATTGAAGAAAATACAATTTTACGTTTATTTCTTCATCATTTTCCGTTTTTATTTTGTCTACTAGTCTTACGATGTTGTTCCTTTTGACTCAACGAAATTATCGTGGAAAGAACCACTTTAGAAATAAATTCAACATCAATTATTTATTTATATTTCCAAAATATTGTTCATTTTCTCAAAGAAAATTTAAACATCCTTCTATTTTTTGTTCCTAATTATCCTCATATTCCTATAAAACGATGACATGTGTATTTCACTAATATGACAAATAAATAAACAAACAAACCTCACTTTCCTTAAACTTGACATTTTTTTTGGGTGCTAACTTGATATATTTTTTCAAGGCAAGTTTGTTACTTCCTTTTTTTCGAAGTAAATCCAGCTTGAGGAACAAAAAATATTAAAACATGATATAATAACTAAATAAATAGTTTGACAAGAACAAAAATATTGAAACACCATATATATAGTAACTAAATAAATACCTTTTAGAAGATGATATAGTAAACTTTTACTATTTTTATTCCTTAGTACAAACAAATATTTGTTTTTTTTACCGTAAACTAATTGACCGTAAACTATTTCAATCAAAATGCTAGCGTTGTATCATTATTTTCCGCAATTTTTAAGCAACTTCCAACCTCATTTTAAAAAATAGAGTTGATCTATATTATGTGTAAAAAATTATAGCAACTTAGAACATCTCCGATCTCATTTTATAAATAGAGTTTCTCTATATATTATGTGAAAAAATAGATTTAAGGTTTCCTAACCGTACTCTATTTTTACACCAAATAAAGTTATGAATAATATACTCTATATTTGAAGTTAACTATTCATAAACTTTATAAATAGAGTTAAGCTTTCTTTTCTCATAATTGATCATTCAAGTTTGAGTTTATATATATCTAGTTTTTTTTTTTTTACCAATTTTGAGTTTATTTATTTGGTATTTATTTAACTGTATTGTCATACTGTAATTGTGATAATTGTTTAAATATATGTATAATATTTCTATATTTTGATTGTGTATATTTATTTTATTTGATATAATGCTTGTTTTATTAATATCAAAATTAATTTAAATTATTTTATATGAATTATTTATTTGATTATATTTATGTAATAATATAAATTTTAAATCTATTAAAAAAATAGATCAATTATAAAAACTTTTTAAATTCAAGGATGCCATGAAAATGTAAAAGAAATAGAAGAGAAATAATATATTTGGAATATAATTTTTTTTATGTAAAAATAGAGTACAAAAGTAAAGTGGGATTGAAATAAAATGGGATTGAAAATGAATAACTCCTAGCACTATTTTTCAATTTCAAAATATAATAAAGAAAATAAAATAGGTTTGGATAAGGTCTTATCTATTGATTTCTATTTTATAGCCGGTAAAATTTCTTGATTTGTGAATTAATACCGATGCTAATGAAAACTTTATGAAAATCGCCAATGAAAATGATGGAAACCTAAGGAATCTGTTCCAGTATTGGCTCATATTAGTCAACATAGGCGCAAGATAGCAGAAGTTTAGGAAAGCGAAAATGAAACTGAAACCTGTTCGCTGTGGCCTTGTGGGAAATAGACGACGTGGGTCCCAGCCGCTGGTAAATTGACCAGAGGTCCGGCGCAGGCACGCCATAGCTCCGGATTTATATTGTGTTTCTTCTCAACACCTGTTTCCCAAATGCCAGGCTAGCAACAAACACACTCAGAACTAGAATTCAAATTAACTTTCATCAAATAATTTCCTATCTTTTAATTAATTCAGATATAACTAATTAACCTGCTGAACTTCATGTGCATCAGAACCCTCATACTCATAGCGGGTGCACGACGGCTCACTTTGAGATGGTTCTCGTCTACATATGTCGTTGACCGACGGTGGTTGTCCATCGCTGGACATCTGATTACTGCCGGAGGGTTCAGAAACGACCATTTGCCTCACATCTCCGATGGAAGGTGGTTGACCCCCGCTACTGTAGGACCTGGCAAGATCTGACTGAGGTCTCGTCTCATAGGTCCAACTGTCGATGTCTATCGTGGCAAATCTGTCCATGCGCATATTACTGGAATACATTATTGCAGATAAGTGTTTGATCATTTAGAATTCCGATGGTGCGTAATCTATATACATACACATACATAAATTGCGGATGGGTGTTGGATACGTAGTAAACTGCAACGCCAAAAAAGGAAGCAGGGTAGAAAAGAAGAAGCCGTGTGTAGAGCACTAATCCAATCATGGAAAAATGAATGATATAACTTTTTGAGTAAACTACACGATTGATCTCTTTTTCTGAAGATATCACTTTTTGTAGAAAAAATTATTTATTGTAGACTTGGTTCCTAAGTCAAATTTTTGGTGCACTTTTAATCATTGGGTATTGGGTATGGGCAACTATTTATACAATTATTTTTTTTTTATCGGCTAAAAAACACTCCATATTACAATATGAATACCTTAATTAAATATTTTTATTGGTTGAAATTGCATTATTTTCCGAAAAAAGTGATTATAATATCGACACCCTTTGACACCCAATTTAAAAGTCAAATAGCTTTTTGCATTGGGATTTCCGTTTGACTGCCTTAGTATTCAATAAAGATTTCAGCAAAACATATTTTAAAATTTTACAACTTAGCTCCTTGTAAAAAGCAAAATAACAATTTTAGCTTTTAAATTAAACTCATTGTACTTCAAACTGGTCACATACGATCCAACTTTTTTTTTCTTTTAATGTAAATTGTTTTTTTTACAATCATCAATTTCAATTAAATAACCACTAACCATTTTTTGAAGATTGTGTTTTTAATAAGAATTAAATTTGATTATATTGAAACTTGTTCATAATCAACTACTAACTAATTGTTTAAAAAAATTTCTTAGTTTATAAGCCAATAACACAAATTAACAGTTAACAAACCAAAATCAAGGTAAATAATCTATTCTAAATCTTAAATCAAGTTTTGAAGTATTTATCGTAATGCCGCCACCTTCACCTTCACCGGTGGTCCAACGGTGGTATACCCACGTGTATACAGATGTATATTAAGAATAGAGTGAGAGAGTGGAGAGTTCTGTGCAAAATCGGATGCTGCAATTGTCTTTCCAACGATGTCAAGGCCATATGCGATGTCAGTAACCATGGTCGAATACCAGAATTCGATATGAAGGAAGAATCGGAGAAGACAACGGAGGTAAAGAGACGACGGCAATGGTCGACAAGAAAGAGACGGCGACATTGGTGGTGTGTCGTTTTTGATGGTGGTGGTGTGTCGTTCCGACGATCAATCCGATGACAGAGGGTGGAGAGTAGTGACTTCCAGTGAGAGTGTAGAGTGTGGATTGACAGAGACGCGATTGATTTTGGAGTGGAGGCTAACAAATTTTAGGGTTTCTTTTTGTATTTATATGGACGGGTTAAAATTGGGCTAAAATAAAAAATTGGCTGAAATTAAAACTTGGGCTATCATGTTTATTAGTTTTTACACTAATTTTTTTTTATAAAACATATTAATTTTTAGATTAGTAGTATATATATAATTTTATTTTTTATAATTAATTATTATTTTGCAGTGTTTAGCAAAAAATGTGGAGACCCGACGGAAATAATTTAAATGACGGCGTTGAGAATACGATAGCGACATCATCGTTTTCTACCAAGCGGGTATAATTCTAATTCAAATGTTGATTAACATTTTTTTTATCATTGTGTTACAATTTGTTAACAACGATTTTTTTTTAAATATGTGTTTGAGTCTCGTGATGAGTTGATGGAATGGGTGCAAAGTATTGCATTCTCTCTTGGTTATGTCATCGTGATGAGAAGATCAAAGGCAAAAAATGGCGAGGTGTCTTAATTACACTTATTTGTGACCGTGGTCGTGAATACGAAAGCACAGCAACAATTAAAAATTCTTGAACCAAAAAAAAATCAATTGTAACTTTCAATTGGTAGGTTCGTATATCAAAAAATATGGCGGTTGGACCCTCAGGGTGATATGTGATCAACATAATCATCCACCTGCACAATATATGGAGGGACATGCTTTTGCTAGGCGGTTGAAAGAACACGAGAAACAATTGGTGGCTGACTTGACAAATCAAAATGTTACACCACATGACATACCCTCGATACTAAAGGAGCGCGACGAGAATAATGTTTCTACACTAAAAACCATATACAATGAGCGTCTCAAGCTTCGCTCGTCCCGAAATTACGGAAAACTCCAATGCAGGTTAGTATATCCAACAAGTAGTATTTTAAATTTAATTTGTATATTAAATTTTTTATTAATTAACAGTATTTAAATGTAGGTTCTAATGGAAATTTTGAACGAGAAACATTTTGTTACGAAGTTCTCCGTAAACAGTATTTCAAATGAATTGGAAAATCTTTTCTTCATTCATCCACATTCGTTGAATATATGGAAGGCATTTCCACACGTTTTGATTATAGATGCAACATACAAGACCAACAAATATGGTATGCCTTTTGTTCAGATTGTTGGTACAACTTCAACCAACAAGACATTTAGCATAGCTTTTGCCTTTATCATTAATGAAAAGGAGGAGAACTATAATTGGGTGTTAACGTGTCTAAAGTCCACACTAGACAAGTGCATGCACCCACGCGTTATAGCCACAGACAGGGAATTGGCACTGATGAACGCATGTCAACAAGTTTTCCCCGGTGCCACTCGGTTACTTTGTAGATGGCATATTACTGAAAATATTAGAAAGCGTTGGAGGAGAACATTCAAGATACACGATGAGTGGAAATCCTTTCGTATAATGTGGACTGTACTTGTTGACTCTCCAACATAGATAGTGTACAATGAAAACTACAAAACACTCCAATCGATGTTGAGAAAATATCAAGGTACAAATCTTCGTATTTTCTAAATAATTATTTATGATTTTAGACTATTTTCATAGATAAATAACATTTATATAATTGCAGATGTTTTAAACTATCCGGATGAAGTTTGGTTAAACAAATATAAGGAAATGTTTGTCTCAGTCTGGATCGATCAACATCTCAACTTTGGACAACGAACTACGAATAGAGTTGAGAGCGCACATTCAAATCTAAAGAAGTTCTTGGATGGCACAAATTCTTCTCTTGATAAATTTATCGGTTGTCTTGATCGATTTGTGAGGTCTCAACTTCCATCGATACATGATAGTCTTGAAAAGAGTAGAATTGTTCGTAAATGGGAACACGACTTGCCATGTTTTAGATTATTGCAGGGTTCAATGTCACATGAAGCTCTCGATAAACTAGTTGGGGAACTTTATCGGTTGAGTGAAAATCAAACTGACTCATCAAACTGTGGTTGTAAACTACAACATAGTTGTGGCTTACCATGTGCTTGCATGTTATCCGTTTACTTGAACTCGGGTGAGTATATTCAACAAGTATTTTTTTTTAAATTAATTAATATATTGAATTTTTATATATTAATGGTATTTCAATACAGGTGAGTATATTCCATTAGATTCGATAGATATATTTTGGAGAAAGCTTGATTTATCAGAGTCAATTTATGTAGCAAATGAGGATATTCGTTGTGAGGATGATTTAGAAATGATTAAAGAAAACTTCTATCAGCAGTCAAAAGCAGGAAAAAAAAAGTATGATAAGAAAGTTAAGAGATATTTTCCTACCAAGTAAAACACGCATTAAGGAACCCGCAATTCAAAAAAATACCCGTTTCTCCATAGTCTCAATATACTGTTTACCATATATACAAATATGTAAGGGTATATATAATATTTATCAATATCTGTATAGAAAGATCAATGGCTCTTCGTTCGAGAACAACTAGTAGACGAGTTACAGAGTGCATCCGATGTATATGCAACGGTTTTCAAAGATGGAATCCATGAATTGTGGACTTCGTTGTATTTCTTCGGACCGAGTGCACCTACGGAACATTGGATGCTTATGCCTGAAACAGGTATTCTGATTGCTAACAGGTTTGGTGTGGTCCTTACTTTCTTAATCAATCATGGTTCCTTAACTTTCTTTCCTCTTTGGAAAGGTCCGGAAGAATTTTTGGACCATCGGATTATTACAATTTCAATTGTACATGGTAATCATTATGTTATGGTACAATTAAAAGAAGATTTTCCGATGCCTACCATTTCGGCTTACTGGATCCGCCATAGAGCTCCGTGTGCAGCTGGATGGGAAACGATGTTTATGTCACGTCTGCAAAGTTATAGACAACTGAAACCTTGTAAGCGTGATTTTATAACTATAGAGGATTGTTGAAGAGTATTATTTATGTCTTGTATTTGAAGATGATTTTATTAAATTAGATTATTGTTGTTGAATCAATTTTCATTTATTAATAACGTATTTATGATATTCATTATAACAACTTTTTGTTTAAAAAAATCAAAAGTAATAAGTAATCATCATATGCATTTTGAACACTTCTTGGTTTAAAACTTTATGGCCACAAACAATAAAAATATGTCTCCTTATCATTGTAAAACAAAAAAAACTTTAAAATATAAATTTAAGAATAGATGTAGTGGGTAGATAAGTAAAAAAAATTATAAAACAATAAAAACTTTAAAAAACGATAAAAATGTGTCCCCCTTATCAATTGTAAAACAAGATAAGTAAAAAAATATAAACAAGAAAAACTTTAAAAAACGATAAAAATGTGTCTTCCTTATCAATTGTAAAACAAGAAAAACTTTAAAATATATAAATTTAAGAATAGATTTAGTGGGTAGATAAGTAAAAAAATTATATAATTTTAAAAGTAGATTTAGTGAATGTACGAATAGAAGTTCCAAAAAATAATATAAATTTTATCGATTATAATATTTTATAATTGTATTGCATGAACAAATTTATGAAAAATGGTTCTAAATTGATACAACTAATTTTTAGGGACTAAATTTGACCCAATTAATTTTTAAGGATTAAATTTGTGAATAATAAAGGGCATGTTAAAAACTAGGAGATAATCATAATTTAAAAGTAATTATTATGTAATGATTGGTCGTAGGATTGTCAACCTCATAATAAACTAGAGTGTGCAGGGATTTGAGATGGTTACATATTGTGTTAAGGCCGGTAAGTCGGTTATGTTGGAATTAAATTTGTAATAATGATCTTATGAGAGTTTGTCTCTCTTAAAGAGATTATCATTGATTTTTTAAAATAATCGTGCAATTTTGTCCAATCGATCCTTTTCTATAGAAACCTTTTAAGTTGTT